CTCTTAAGACAAGAGACTTCAAGTACAGCAGCCCAATATCCCCAACAGGTATGAAAACTCCAGGGACCCCACTTACCCAGCCTTTATGCRTAGCCAAGAAATACTGCACAAATGTGTGAAAGCTCAACAATGGAAGGAGCACCCACCAAGGCAACACACACCCTCCTTTCCCATGCAGGGCCACCAAGAAGGGACAGCATTGTACCTCAAGATGCCATCCTACAGTTGGCAGTGTTTAAACTCAACACAATCACACACACAGGTTTGGTGGAAGGTCTGTTAACCTCTCCCAGAGAAAGGTCTCCCACTCTTAGTTAGGACACCATCTACATAAAATGCACAAATTCAAATCCTTTTGGCAGCACAGCTGGCAYGCTGGTTCTGAAAATGACGCCAGGATGTGCACCCTGGCTCTCTGGCTCATAGGCRTAGAGGTGTGGTGGAAGAAGCAGTCTTCTCTAAAAAGCTGGTAAACAAGACAAAAACACTGTCAAAACAGATCTCTTTTTGTGTACTTAGACTATATTTGTGTGCTTAGACTACCCTTAAGCAGTGTCTTCAGTACCRCTACTTAGCACAATGATTTTACAAAGTTTCTCTGCTCACATCTCCTAATAACCCCATTCTACTAGTAAGCGACTAAAACTCTTGGCAAAAGAAGTGTAAACTTTCAACTGGATGCATTTCTGCTGCTTCAGATAAACACCTAAGCAACTTTGCTGTGAAACTGTCCTGCTTCTGCTTACAAGATGAACAGCACGYCCCCTCTGGTATCAGAACACAAGATTCTGGTCTCCTCATCCACAGGCTCTTTCTCCAGTGCTCATACACATCTTCCAGGAGGAATTCAGAAAAAAAAGGCATATTTTAAAAAGAAATAAAAAATTGAACCAGCCATATATAAGCAAACCACAACATTTGGGAGAGAATAAAACCTGACCAGTATAATAAAGCAAGATAGCAACATTTTCCAGGAGAGGACAGCCCAATTCGTTTGCAAAAGGAATGAGACAGAGGAGGAACTCATTCGCCATGYATACTGAACAAGAAAGGCTTCTAAGGAAGATGTATTTGTACCCAGTTCTTTTTGCTTACACATTTTACAAATACCAGCTTTCATCTGGGTAATGAGTTTGCAAAGGCAGGTACAGGACCACACAGGACTGTCGAGACGAACGCCAGCTTTAAGCAGACCCAGTTGAGGTGCCAGTGATGATTAGCTGGACACGCTCAGCTTTGCACCCTGCTTCTCATTAGCATTAATTATCCATCATCATACCTCTGCTGCTGCCAGAATCAAAACTGGCTCAGGCAGTTTCACAGTCCTTAATGCTGACTATGGAGTTGCCAGAGTGCACAACAGGGAGCTTATATTGGCCCTGCGCCTGTGCCAAGGGCAGAGGAGAGCAGAGACCTGCTTCAGGAGAAGGTTGGAGCAGAGTGAACAGGTAATACCTTCTTCGATGGAAGACCTCTCAATGTAACTTTAACCTGCCAAAAATGTTTSAGTGAATTTGAAACAACAGAGCTAGGGCTCAGTTTTGTAATGTGCTTCACTTGGTCTAGSAGTGATGGCTGACGGAAGGCTCCATCCGCACACACGGCCATGGTTTCAAGGTAGACTTAGGCTCCATCAAGTCCATCCCCAGAGAAAGGATTTCAGTGCCAAGGACTTGATTAGTGGTGCTCAGGGTGTCCCTTCCCTCCCCAACGTGAGCTACTATCAGGTTCTCACCTCACTAGCAATACAACAATATTAGTTTAGGTGAACCAAAGTGACCTTGTAGAAAAGCAGACTGCACGTACGGCTCAACAATTCTGCYAGATAAAGTGTTTTTATCACTAGAAAGTCACACTTTCAAATAATTTTCACCCTGAGGCCATAATCTCGAAAGACACACTTAAAAATGTGTAGAACATAAAATGAGTGATTTTTTTTTTTTTTTGATAGAGGTTAAGGAAAGAAATCCCTCACAGACATAACACTTTATTGATATTCYTGGTCACAGCTCTGCACATGCCGAGCAGGATCAGCTGCTGGTAAGGACCACGATTCATGTCTTTCCATTTAAACCCTGCAACAAAGAATAAAACTATTTCACAACTAACAAAGGGGAACCCTCTAATTTTCTAGAACAATTTCAGCTCCCATTGCATTAGCACCCTCCAGTGTCCGATYCATGAAAAACATCTTCACTAATTTGCCAAGCAGACACAAACTTGGAGTGTGAAACACAAGACACAGCAGTGGYGGATTCCTGGGAGGGAAAATGGCAATTGGTGATGAGAGAAGAAACTCCCAATGCTAGATATTTTAAATTACATAAGCACAGTCTCTGAAGAAGATCTGACATAGGGTTATTTCTCTTCTCACGTTCCTTTTTTCCTAGCAGGCGTGCTGGTGTCAGGCATGACAGGCTCYACATGCCCACACTGTACATTCCACACTCCACAGCGTTCCACTGAGATGTGGATGCTGCCTTTGACTGATTTAGCACAGGCATGTGGGTATGGATCCGCCGGGAATATACCATGTAAATGAATACACATAGTGAAACTCTCTTGTATGTGGGTGAGGCTGACGTGCCCTTGGCTCGCTGAGGGCAAACAGGTGACGGTGCTTGCAAGTGCAGTGCTCTTCTCTTACAGCATAATCACCAAGCAAAGAGAGAACAACAGGAAAAACAGCTGCATTTGTTGCTGAAAAACAGCTGGATGAAGGGTTTTTTTAACTTTTCCCAAAAAGACAAAAATATTTCTCCGGCAGGGAGAGCCTAGCAGGCTCTGGAACATCACAAATAACAAAAATCAGCTCTGGTTACTGTAAATTTCACCTGCCTGATAACGACACAAATACTTGATCCACCTTTTCCAGGCAGCACTGCTTCCCCCTAGCTTCTTGGGGGCAGCAGCATACACATGAAGAGCTGGAAAGGCCACTGCACCACATCGGAGGTACCTGCTGTAACTAGAGTCCCAGCAGGGCACAGAGCTCTGTAGCACACAGGCACCACAGTCTGGACCCAGTGGTACCTGCCAATTCCTGCTAAAGACCAGGAATTAAATCCAACCAACATGTTCATTGATTGCTGACATTTGAACTCGTCCCTGCATTTTCTCTCCCAACTGCACACAGCCCTGTGTCTGCCTAGCTCAAAGGTAAGCAAGGGCTCCTCATGCATCATCCTGCTGTAGTCTCTGACAGCTTGGATGTCCAAAATTCTGTGGTCTCCACCTGCCCAGTGGCCTCCTGGGCTCCACAGTAGCACTGATGACAAGGGGCAGGCAAATCCTTCCATAGGGAGGCAACTGTGTCTTCTGGGAGTCAAGCAAGTGCATTGTGATGCCTGACAGCCATGTCCCAACCCATGGCAGCACAATCCAAGGAAACCCCTTCTGATCCACAGCTGGGGGACAGCAGCTCACCACAGGCATGCAGCCAGCCTCCTCTGCAGCCCTGAACAGGTGCCATGCACATATAAATATGATCATCCAACTGCCCTCACATTGTGTAGACTCCTCTTCCCCCCACAGTATGAATTAAAAATTCTTCATGACCAGAAAAAGCAAGGCATGGCATCTATGATCCTGCACTTATATGGGGGGAAGGAGTGAAAACAAGAGAAAAAAAAAAAAAAGGCATGCACATGCATACATCATCCCCAGAAATAGGTGGTAAAAGTACACTGAAGGAGGYAGGCTGGAAAAATGGCACTGGGTGCTATGCAGGACATTTACTGTGGGCAGGAATGACTGACATGGATTTTCTGGGCTCTTCACAGTGCCTCTAGCACAGCACAAAGCACTCCAGCTRTCCCTGAGGCTCCCCAAGAACACCAGCATCAATATTGCATATTCACAGTAACATCTATGTTACAGTTTTACAGACCGCATCGGTTTTTGTCACTCAGCTATAAAATATTTACAGAACCAAGGTCTCAGCAGAGAACGCAAGAATTTAAAGCTTTAAATATTTATATTAAAATGAATTAACACTTGATTGCCTTCCTAATATCAATACTACAACAAATGTGCTCTCCCTCTAGAAGTGCTGTTGAAAACCGGCCTTAAGTAGGCACAGACCCAACAATCSCTCCCTCGGGCAGAAGTCACTGTGTGCCCGCCGGGAACAGGCAGGCACACACCTGCAGGCACAAAGCGGGACATCAACCCTGCACAGGGTTCCAGGAGGAAGGTGCGGCGGAGCCTTTGTTTTACACGACACTGGAGCCTGATCAGGGAGCCTGATCTTGCACGGAGATCCACTGCTTAAAGCAGAGCTTTTCCCAGCATCCTGCCCTAAATCCGTGCCATCCCTGACAGCTATTCCGCCACCTGTGGGAAAGCACCTGGTGATTTTGGTSGCTATATAACCTTCCCTTATCCAGCCACTGCCGAGACGGGAGCCCCGCACTCACAGGGGGCTCCCACGGCCCAGGCTGAGGGACGCTGAGGGGGCTTCTGACAGCCCCGCTCTGCCCACACCGCCACTCATGCTGGTCATAGATGGGGCAGGCGACACACGATGCTCTTAAAAACCGGGAAAGCCAACCGGTGTGGTGTGTGATGAGGATCCAGCCTGCCTTWCCCCCCGGTAGCCCCTGCGGGAAATGGAGCACGGTGGCTGTCAGGAGCCCGCTCTGTCCAAGGCTGGGCGCAGGAACCCAAGGTCACTCCCCGTGTAGGAGCTGCACCGAAGCGGACAACCGGGAAAGGGCAATGTTCTGGTAACTGGAGGAAACATGGAATAGTTTGAAGGGACCTTGAACACCATCTCGTTCCAACTCCCCCGCCGTGGGCAGGGACACTTTCCACGAGACCAGGAAACGGACTTCCATTCCCACGTTCCAGGTGCCCGAGCGCCAGCCCCGCCGCCCCGGGCCCGGCCGGCCCCGCCTCAGTGACACGGGGGATCGGGGGGAGACCCCCGGGCGCGGGGAAGGGGGGGGGCGGTGCGGGGGTCCCGCGGCCCCGCCCCGCGCGCGCGGCCCGTCACTCACAGTCTCCGCCTCCCCGCGCGCAGCCCGGCCCGCCAGCACAGCCCCGCCGCCATCGCCGCCGCCGGGACACGCCCCCCGCC